TGCGCCGTGTAAGCAGAAGAACTCGGAGAGGAAGCAATAGGAGGTCCATTCACATTTGTCGCCGCAGCATGTGAATACCCACTGTTGCGAGGACGGGCTTTGCTCTTCGGTTTGGTCTGAGGGGAATCTTCTGCTGCCGTCGAGGTCCGTAGAGCTCTTGCAACTTTCATGGCCTCAAACTCCTTGGTAGCCTTCCGCTGTGCACGACGAAGATCACGCAACTCCTTTTCCGTCATAGCCCTTCGAGAGCTCACCGGCGCTGAGTCACGTACCTCCATTGCGCTCGCATCTGTAGCCGCAGTTTCGCTCACAGCAGCCACTCGAGTGACTACAACATCATCAGAGGTTGGTCCTTGAGGTGAAGCTTCAGCGATACCAGCACTAGCGGGGCCACGCCTTTTCCGAGGCAGAGGCTGTCTCAGCCGAGTGGCCAGCACTCGACGGCGCCTGAGTATTGGAGCGCTGGTGCAAATACGACGGAATGTCCGGTCGAGGCAGTGCCGGCCGTGAGCTCTCAGCATTCGCAGTGAAAGGCGGTTGTCCCACGCCTCCTTGGGCTCAGGGTGAGCCAGTGTGTACCGTCCGATGGCGATGTCACAAATTGACAATGCAGTTTTATCAATGCAAAGGGCTTGTATGTGCAAAGTCTCCTGGTCATCACCCATTGGCTGTTGTCCTAAAGGACCACAACACTGCAATACAGCGCTAACTCGTAGAGGCAAGACTGTATAAATCTTCAACCAATATACTGCAGATGCATCAGCCAGGTAAGAGCTCAAGAACGTGGCAGTTGTCACCAGTGAAATTGTAAGATCACAATGAAGCTGAGTACCACACATGGCCAGACCATCAGGGTATCTGGCTGTGTTCAGCCACCAAGCCTGGTGACAAGACCAGCGTAACAATCCTGAGGAAAGCCGCAGAAACAGAATAACAGACACTTGAGGTACGAGCCACCATTTCGCCGTGCATGCAACCTGCAAAATGACAAAATACCGGGCTGGCCTGGTAGTCAAAAAGCATAGGATCAACAGCAGCATCGCAAGGTAAGACAAGCCATACGGAGACCCCAAGCCAACATTAACAATATTGCAACAGGCTCCAGCATGCGCGTATTCCACCAAGGACCAGACCATATGTGGCCAAGCAAAGTACCGGAAGTAGCCTCACAAATCCCAGGGTATTGCCAGATCTGATATGTGATGCACAACCTTGGCGTATAGCTCATGAGGTTGCCAGATACACCCGCCGGAACATAGAGCACTGTGGCTGTGATACATCGGGATCCTGACGCCAAGAAAGAATGCTCAGGCAGTGACATGCAACGTCCATGTAGACCTGGGCAGCGGGACAATATACCATTGCTCGTCGATACCACAATACACCTTGTAAGCAATTGCAATGTGCTTGAAATTCATCTTTCCAGCAGCTAGCGCACATAGCGGATGTGAAGGCGTATATACAAGCGCAAACGGCCAGCCAGAAGGTGTGGCACGTAACACGCACATATCAAACGTTGCCCTGGGCCACGAATGTAGCTGAAGTTCAATCGTTGTCAGAGGGGTTAAGTTCATAGCTAACAACGTCACGAGCAATGCGTAGGTGGTGTTCTGAATCAGAACTCGAGCTGCAGCCATGATGTGGCCCATCGTAGTCATCAGACGGTTGAAAGTCAAAGCCATCAGCAAATACTCCAGTAGCCACGGGCCGCAGAGGACTAAGGGGCACAGGATCCGTTTGAGTCTCCATATGACGATGGGTAGCACTGTGCACTCGTCTGCCGCCTCTCCAGAGAAAAATGCAACCATGGGCCCGTCCGTCTCGTCCATCTCTGGGGGTTCTACGTACCGTGTAACTCGGAGTACTCCAGACTTGCGCCGCCTCCTCGATCCGCCAACTTGTAGCAGATGGGGAGCTTGCGAAGCTTTGGGCCGCTTTTTTGCCCGTGCATCCACCGAGTACAGGTCAGTATCAAAGGCAGTCGGATAGGATCCCAAAGTGGCCGGAGGCTTAGAGACCACATGGGGAATATCTTGACAATCCTCAGTGCCAAGGCCTGGGTCAACTCTTTCCACGTCCACTGGATCAGCGAACTCATCAATCATAAAGAAGATTGTGAGCCCTTTGCGCGGCCAGTTGTTGTCGAATCTGAGAAGGCAGATCGCTGTGCCCAGAGGCACCCGACATCGCAATGCAGTGAACCAGATAAAGGCACGAGTGGAGGTATGCAACCCACCAGTGGAGCAGGGATGCAAATATGCTGTCACCAACTGCTTAGACTCTTAGACCAAATAGGAAAGTTGTGGGGCACCAACGATGATATACAAAGTGTCAAGCAAATCAGCAAGGGGACTGTAGCATTTGAGCCAGACCAGTCATTGTCAGACCACATATTAGTGAGCCATACAACCAAGCAGGGCGGGAGCGCTGAGTAAACCCGCACAGAAATTGGCACCAAACATTGAGCTGCCGACTGATCGTCCTGGTGCTTCTGTAGCCCCGGAAAGAGAAGGCCATGCTGAAAATTCGGAAGAAATGACAAAACAATGAAGATGGCACATCCGCCATGGTAATAGACCAGTCAGTGCCTCATTCTCAGGCACAGGCACTGACACGCAGATGGAATTCGAGGCTTCATGCAGGCATCGGTGCGGCTCACAGTCGGAATCAAGTGCAGTGATAACAGGAGACAAGAATGACCTCAGCACAGCCCAGAAGACATGTCATAAACCTGACGACACACCACTGCATGCAGCGAAGTTCTAATCCGAACGAGGTCGGGCACCGTAGCTTCCTTGATTTAAAAATAAACGGACACCTGCGAAACTGTCGGAGCAGAGTCAGTTGCCACCTACTGGTGCGCCATGTCAAAAATCTCCTATCAGTCATTGCCACTGGCCCCGTTGCCTGTACCAGGAAGCGATAGAAGTGAGGAAACGCACATGTGTCTACCAGTGGTACATCAGACAACTGCAGACCAATGTGAATGAGCCATTGTTCGAGGCACCGGATCCGCTTCCTGGAAAAGCAAATGCACTGTTTATGTCCTTTGCAAACGGCGCACACATCCAGTTTACCACGTGAAAGTGCATGCCCAGTCAACTGCAAACAGAGCCCTAATCCTTGTTCACGTAATCGAAGCAGGCATTCACGCTGATGGTTGGTGTAAATCATGAGCAAACTGCGTTGTAAATCCGGCCCAATGCGATTTTCAAAACCCTATGTCATATGCGATGGATGATATGTACTTGACATGGTTTCCACCAACTGATAGCATGTATCCGTCGCATCTGGTTCATCTTGCCAGCGGTTGTTCGCAGTTGTGAATATAGAATCTCTTCCAGCTGCTTCCCAATGTAACCCAGTTTCCGGAACAAGACCTCGAGGCCTGGACCTGCGACCAGGCATGGTACGACCACTGGCCATACTGCTGCTGGAGCATACTCGAACATCAGAAGAGGGGCTAAAAATGGGAGACCGGCTTCGATCGCCAGAGGTTCCGCTGACAGCACAAACGGACAGAAAGCAAATGAAAAGCATCATGGCAACAAAAAGCTTCTGCAATGGACAGTGGATGAAAAATCACTGCAACATGTGAAGTACCATGCAGCACATGTATTATGAGAAATGAAAGCGCTAGCATACTGTCCATGTGACTCCTGGCAGATCAACCACAGCACATTCATAGACTAGCTTAGAGCCGCCTCCATCACCAACATGCAAGAGAACCAGATCTCCTTGAGATGCAGCCTCGGGCTAACACCTGAAGCATACTTAAATTTTCCTGGTGCTGTCGGGACCAGGTCCATATATAGCAGCGGATCACAGCGCCTTCCCGCAGAAGTGGGACTTTTGCGTTGCAACAGTGGCACACACGTGTCCAGTGTACCCGTGCCTTCCCAAACCTGGCCCAGGCTAATTGTCATTTGCAGGCATGGAGGAGGAACCATTTCTTTCAAATGATAACAGTTCCTGGCATTCGACATTCCATTCGCCCGCGGCTTCAGCGACAGCAGCCGTGGACAACAAGCCCAAAAAGTCTAAGAAAAAGCTCCAAAAGAAAAGACTATGAGAAAGAAAAAGGAAAAGCGAACAAAAACGGACAAGAAGGAGAAGAAAAGCAAGCCGAGCAGAAGACCAACGCCATCTTCTTCAGACTCGGACCTGATTCCTGCCCTGGACCCTTCGAGCGAGTCTGACCAACTTTTTCTAGGTGCAGTGATGCCATTGGCGTCTAACTCATCACGGGCAGCAGGCCCACAAGCACCATGTCCTACCAGTATCGTGTCGGGCTTACAAGGCTCTACCAGTTTGGGATCCGGGTTGTATGCAGCGGGTCCTGCCAGTTCGGTGTCGGGCTTACAGGCGACGGGTCCTACAAGTTCGTGAGACCGGCGGAGGTAGCAGCGCGCACACGCTCCACTCTAGAATTACCAGGAAGGGGGCTTGGGCCTCACTCGGGAGCCTCATAAATGCTCACATGTTGAACGAGACAAGGGGAGAGAGAGAGACAGACGCTCCCAGAAGGGTGTAAACGGATCCACTTCAATGAGGACTGCCTCCGATGGAGACCACCACGGCGCCATGACGGAAAGCCGTTGTAAGACACTGTAAGGTGTTGTCTGCACTCACGGATGTATGTCCGCAAAGGACCACACGGGATGAAAGAAATGGTGTTGGTAATGGTGACGATAGCGGAATGTGAGATGAAGGTTTTGTGCCAAGTACGCCAGACCGAAGGAATGGCATACGAAAACGGAATGAAATGATCCGTCAGGGGTCAGGTTTCTGCCCCTTGCTACGCCAGACGCAAAGGAATGACGTAGCATGAAATGAGATGAAGGATGTTCAACTCACAACATAAGCGCACGCAATTGCCCGCACGTTTCTCGGCTACAAGAGGGCCCTCTGTGATCCAACAGCAACGGTCGGTAACTATAGTGACACGTCGACATGCACTCAAGATGCATGGATACAAACACCCTTCGAGTGTTGCTATGTCACCGATCAGCTGGTGCGCTAAGCCCATTTAGCTCAGCTTCAAAATCGTCACTGGGCCACATCACCAGAGACGCTGCTTCCTGTTCCTGCTTCGTTTTGCGAAGCCTTTGCTGCTTCCTAGCACTCACGAACTCCTGGTTGAAGCGCACGATCCAGGCCTTTCTCGCATGGTACAGGGCAGCTGCCTTGTAGGCTTCACTGGTGGCTTTTGTCAGGCTGTCTGCCAGGTTCATATCCGATGGCACCCAGGTCAAGTAGCACCTGCCATCTTCTCGAAGACCTTTCTGCACAGCCGTGGCCTCGATCCCGGTGCGGGAGTTGTTCATTCCCGACATCGGAGAGTCCGATGAGGTAGTGGCATCATACAGCCCCCGAGAGTCCGTGATCAACAGTGACTCCATCATGGCTGCCAGCTCCTTCGCGTTCGATCGCGTCAGCTCGTTGCCGTACATCAGGGCCCAAAAGATTCGGCATTTCCAGTCTTTGTCCTCCGCCTCGTAGACGGCTTGGCGTTCCTTTGGCCGGCCGGTCCAGCTTCCACGACTTCCAGTCCATCACGCTCACCTTTGTCTCACGCCCATCCAAGATCTCGGGCGCAGCAAAGCCGGTGATGTATCCTCCGACGGCGCCTCTGCACGGCCTATTGTTGTTCCCGGCGTCACCAAAGTGCAGGCCGACCAGCTGGTTCCACTGCAGCTTGTCCTCGCGGCGGTGGTTAAAGGAGTGGAAGACCATATCCTCCTTGGCCGTTTTGCGGAGCTCCTTCAGCAACGCGTTGGCGTCCCGAAGGTGCTGCATCGTCGCCTGGTTCCCGGAGGACGCCTGGATGCCGACCTTCGCGCAGTACTGGAAAGCTGTCTGTACAGCCCGCCATTGAGCCTTCATGGTCAGCCCTCGGAATTGTGCAAATTCCTTGGGCAGCAACGGATCTGACCCGCTGCGGGACTTGTCGTTGACAATCTCGATCGACTCCAGGGAGTTGCAGTAGGCCTCCTGGGTCACTCGAACCTCGTAGTTCTTCATCTGGCGTATCTCCAGTCCTGCGAAAGTGAAGCTCCCCGTCTTCCAGGGTGACCAAGCATACAGCATACATGTGCTTGATCTTCTCCCGGATCTTCATCCACTCAGTGTTGTGGTCCCCGGCGATGATAAAATCATCAACATGCGTCCCAACTCGGCCAATGATACGGCCGTCCTTGGCGCTGCGGAAAATCCACAGACACCTGTCGATGTCATGTGGGCGGGCCCCAATGGCTCGCATCTTCTCGTCGACATCCAGCCAGAAGATCCGAGGAGCATTTGTCAAACCGTAGACTGCCCCGACGACTTCCATCAGGGCTCCCGGCGTAAGCCCCAGAGCCATTGCCAACTCTGGAACGCCACGGGTGAACAGAGGGTCTGTTCCAATCCCCTTGTCCGCTTGCAAGAAAGCTGACTTGGCGTCGGCACACTCAATGGTGCGCTGGTCCAGGGCCGCCGCCTGTAGCAACATGTTGCGCCCAAGCCTCGAGAGTGTCGGGCTGGCGGTGAGCAGCTCAGGTTGCCCTGTTCGGGCGTTACGCCTCGCCAAGTCCGGGTGCTTGTAGCCAATCAAGACGATTCTGGCCTTTGCCTTCTTCTTGCCGTCCGCAGTAGAGACCTCATGCTTGTCATTCCCCGGCGGGGTGCCATCGGGTACCGGCTTCCACGTCAGGATCCACCTCATGGGGATCAGCCTGTCCCGGACCTGCTCCTCAGTGAGCGCTTGCGCTGCCGCCTTGATGGCTTGTGACCGGAGCACTTCCGAGATCTGTCTGGCCATCGCCTCGTCCATTCTTGCCCGGTCCTTGTGGTCAAGGTTGCGGTAGTTCACCTCCTTTGCCGCCGTATTCGATGCCAGCTTGGTCTTGGCATAGGTCGCGCTGGAGGCAACGAACAGGGAGAGGTCCTCGACGTCGAACTCCACGACCATGGCCTCCTCCTTGCGGTCGCAAGCCTTCCGGATCGCCTTGACTAGGTCAAGCTTTCCCTTTGCCCTTTGCATCCGTTTCACTTCCACGCGAAGCTTGTTCAGGGATACAGCCTGCTTGGTGTCATTCTCTATCTGTTCTATGCGCTTCTTCACCAGGAGGATCGTCTCAACGTCTAAGGCACGGACCCGGTCACCTTCCACAAGGCTAAAGACATCTGGCCTGTGTTCCTGTGAAGCGCCAAGGGTAGAAGGTGAAGTCGTTGAAGCCGCCGGCTCTTGTGCGGTCTCTAGCTCTGCACTAAGTACCGCCCCAAGGGTAGAAGGTGAAGTCGCTGAAGCCGCAGGCTCTTGTGTGGTCTCTGCCGCCTTTGGCCCTTCCTCTGATGACCTCGCCCTCTCCTTGGCTCTTTTGGTTGCCGGCGCCGGTGGGTTCTCGAACTCCTTTCGCTTTGGGGCCAGGACGTCATAGCCCTCTTTGATCTCCAGGCGTGTGCTCCCTTTGGTGAGGTCTTTCAGGATCAGCCCGTGCGCCAATCCACTGGTCGACGAAGCTGCCAGAGTCTCCGCGGGGGTCCATCCATATAGTCACCCGCTTGCCGGTGAACTGGTCCAGAGGTACCGGGCAGTTGCCGATGCGTTTGGCACAAAGAGTCTGATTTTGAGGTGTTGTTTTGCCGAATCAGCATCCGGTTCTCCTCGTCGATCTCCCAGGTGTCCGGCACCTCACCGAACTCAATCTCCTCTGGCATTCTCCGCAGTTTTGGCAGGCCTTCCAGCTTCCGAGCTGCATTGGCCGATGCCATCTGTTGCCAACGGGCAATCTGCTCACGTACGGTGGTTCTACCACCTTGTCGCTCGGGTGTCCTGCTTCTGGACGGTGGTCGTGCATCTCGTTCTCGGGAGGCCGCCCGTCTCGCAGCCCAATCGTCAGCTGCGTTTTCCAGCGTATCCTCCCATTGCCGTGGTGGTTGCGCTTGCTCGCTCTGCATCTCTGGTTCCGGGGCGCCGTCTGGCCAAGGCTCTGGTGGTAAGCCGTCTCGGTCGCCTTGGTCGTGCTCCTTCGTCACGTCCACAAAACGGCGCAGGCCTTTCATGACATCCTCGATGGGCCTTTCTCAAGCAGCTCGGTGATCACCTCCTGCTCGCTAGCCATCCGAAGCTGTTCCGGCGCACACCTCCACAGAGAAGTTCCCATCAGCACCCAGATCACGGATACCCGCGCGTCGGGCATCACCGGTGGTTCTAGCAAAGCCACCCTGCCTGGTCCGATGAAGCGGGCCTCCGGGTTCACGGTGCCCTCGCCTTCAGAGTTGCATTTCTCCAAACGCACACCCAGTCGCCCGACTATAATAGTCCACGATCGGTCTCGGTGCTGCATTGTGTAACCGGGTAAAGGTTTTTTGGGCGAGCTCTTGCCGATGAATCTCTTCGGCCTTGGACCTCCACCGCTGTAATTTCCAGAAGCCCTCCGGCCGTTCTCCTTGGTTGCGGTTCACCTCCAAGGGGTCGGCTTCTCGTCTCCATGCCGCCGGGTTTGACCCATATGCCCACTGCACCGGAGAGAAGCCCTTCACAGTCTCCGTCTGGTTGTGGGCCGCCGCCGCGAGGTGTCCGCAAAGTCGAGGAGATAGCTCTGAGCTCTCGTTCCGGAGCCGTTTCATCGTCTTCTTGATCGCCTTCACCGCGGTCTCCACGGCCCCGTTCTGCCAGTGAGCTTTTCCTGGCGTGGTTGCCAAACCGCAACCGATCCAGCCACAAAACTCTGCGAAGCCCCCTTTTGCCAAAAATGACTGGGGTCGGTGAGGATCCACTCCGGCTTCGGTCGGTGTTGCAGCCAGGATCCAGCAAAGACATCCACCATCTTTTGGCCGCTGTCGGTCCCTGCTTCATTCATCGGGCCCTCCCACAGCATCTCCACCATGGTCAGGCGCATCACCATGCACATAGCAAGCAGGTACCGGGCCTTCCGTTTCTGCAGTGGGAAGAAAACCTCGAACACGTCCATGCCCAGCATCTGCCACGGCGCAGGCTTACCTCCCATACTGTGAGGCACCTGCATGGTGGCACCGCGGCGAGTTTCCAGGCAGGCCTGGCAGTGTAGGTTCAAGGCTTCGGTCACCACCCACTTTGGCAACAGATCCGTGCCAGGGCTCTGTTGGACGGGTGTCCCGCCGCCTTGTGAAGGCGGGTGAGCATGGCCCTCGCCTGCTCCTTCATATTCTCGGTGACCTCGGCGGCCTCAGGAGAGTCTTCGGCGAACATCGGGTCGTCATCGATCTGCTGGGCTGCCGCTACAATCCCACGAACCTCGTCGGCGTCCTGGGTCTTCACGGCCTGGCTCTTCCAGATCGCCGCGATGCGCTCGATCATCTCCTTTGGGTACCTCGGTCCGGCTTTGCTCCGGCGGCTGCCGGTTTCCATGGTGGCTGTGGCCCTCGTCACACACTTGGTGGGCCCGCTCGTGGAACGTCCCGTCGTTGTGCAGGATGGTCCATTGCTTCCTTCCTCGTGGCCCTTTCTCCGACGGCCGCAGCATGCACTCATCCACGATGGTACGGTAAAGCTTCTGGCCGCGGTCCGCGAAGAGCTGCCGGAAGGACCGCACCCCAGACGATCGCCAAGTCCCGGTCGCCGCCGTCGGCATCTCCAGGTAGATGTGGGTCGTGCCGTTGGTGTTGTCGAGGCTCGCCGCCGCAATCTCGACGATTTGGTCCAGCTGCTTCTTCACCTTCACCCTCTTCTTCCCGAGCTTCGTGTCATCAGTGATGTTCTGGGAAGCCTCCGGGAGGATGCAAGAAGGTGACAGCCACAGCTTCCAAGGAGCTTGTTGCCAGCACTCCTTAAGCAGTTTGTTCACACCCTCCCTCTTGTTCATATCATAGCCGTTCTGAAGCGTCTTGCTGTGCACCTCCAGAGAGCGTCGTGCACATGCGCTTCCGAGGTTTCCCTCGGTCCTGCACGCAACCTCCCAGATCTGCTGAAAATTGGTTGCAAGGCGTCCAAAATGGCCGCCACATCGAATTCTTTGGCTGCTTGCTGCAGTTCCTGTGCTTTCGCTTTGGGCAAGGTGGTGTCGTCTTCGCTCCAGGTCTCGGCCGGCCGCTCCGTCCGTCCTTGCCTCCTCGCTCTCGGCACCCTCGGGCGCCCCATCGACCTTCACGTCTGGGCTGCCGTTGGTGGGGCCTCGGTGTTCACGGGCTCCACCGTCTCGAACTCGTCGTCGGAGTTGGTCACCTGCACCGGCTCCTTGCGCTCGTTCTTCTTCGCCTTGGGTCTGTCCTTCTCCTTGCCGGTCGGTGGTGGTGCCACGGCCTTGCTCTTCGGCCGCCCATATATGAGCCGCTTCTCCTTCGCCACGATGTCGATCGTGTTCTTCACATCCTTGGCTTCCACGGCCCCGGCATCCTTGATCTGCTGCCGCAGTCTCTCCAGGGCTTCCGTGACATTCTGCGGCAAATTGGTTCTGGTGTACTCCCCGGGCGCTGGCTGGTACATAGGACGCCCGGTGCCCGCATGCCACACATTCCGGTCCCTGGTGTCGGCTCCTTGGCGACGTGTGTGTTGTCGTACTCGGTCTTCTCGCCTGACCCACGGCTCCTGCCCTTGCCCTTGGGCCGGTGTTGCTTCATCTCCTCGGCCACGGCCACGCGCACAGCCGCCTGCACCGCCTTCTTCATCTCGTCCGTCAGCGCGTCGGTGCTGCCGGTCGCCATGGTGCGCAGGTCGAGGGAAAAACGAATTGGGATCGGCCAGCGTTTCGCTAGTCATGTCTGCCGAGCCCAACATCAGGTACCGAGTCTCGTTCACACCGATTCCAAGGAAAGCCGCTTCTACGTGTAGGTCACTCTGGCTCGGAAACAAGCTCAACAAATCATGCCTGTCCTGCTCTCCAACTGACATGTCAGACTGCAGCTCGAGCATGTAACCCGCATGCTTGGCATCAGGCGTGGAAAAACGAACTGTCCGACGTGTCGGGGTAGGCTGTGTCTTCGGCACCCACCTGTACTGTAGTCGCTGTTGTGGATCCCTATGTTGGGGTACAGTGGTTCGCCTCGGGCTGGTCGTTCTGGTTCTTGTTGGGCTCGCTGCTGTGCTCGTTGTTGGGCTCGTGGTGGTGCTCGTTGTTGGGCTCGCGGTGGTGCTCGTTGCTGGGCTCGTGGTGGTGCTCGCCTCGTGGTGGTGCCCGTTGTTCTGGGCAGGGTTTACCTTGAAGACATGTTTCATCACATCCATCACCAGGTGTCCTTTGGCTGTTCTCCTGAGCTCCACCATGTTGTTGTTGATTAAGCACCGCCCTGTGGCACACCCGATAAAAGCATTCATCACCATGAGCTCCCGCATCCTAATAAGAACTGGTACCCCTTCACTTGGCAACGCAAACATGCTGAACTTCACGTCTTGGTGCTCGAGGCTCACACGGTACAAAGCCCAACCCCACTTCCCAGTCCCGTATCTAAAGTATGGTCGCTCGCCCTCGAAAATGGTGATCTTCGTCTGGCCGCAGCTACCGCTGCACAAAGCTGCTCGACTGCCTGTCGGCCTCCGGCCTTGGCTGTCGCCCCGTATCTACCAGGCCCTCAAATGCCGCCATCGACGAAGAAGCCTTCTTGGCGCTGACCTCGGAAGTGGAGAAAAACTCGACGCCGCCCTCCAGGTGGTAGGCGTGGCCCCACGATGGGGCTCCTTTCGGCCCTTGGCTGGGCCCCTTGGAGAATTTGTTCTTGCCCTCCTTGCCATCCAGTGCGCCTCCTCCATGTACTTGGCGCCTTTCTTGCCCTTTGGCTTTCCTTTTGCCTTGGCCAGGTAAGTTGAGGTCGGCTTCGGCTAGGTTGCGGTCGTTCTCCGCCAGCATGGCCTCGATGTCCTTGCGCTGCTCCTCGAACTCTTTCTGGTCCTCCTTCAGGGCCGCATAGGCTTCGTCGGCCGGCTCTTCGTCGTCGTCCTCCTCGGCCGGCCACTCGTTCCAATCATTGGGCTCAGTCTCGCCCGGTCTCCGGCCCCGGCTGGTACGTGTAGTAGGCGGCGTCCGTGTAATCGGGAAGGTCCTCGGGGTACTCTTCCAGGTAGTTGTAGAAAGCCCCTTTTCCCGAGAAGGGCCTCCCGTGCTTGCCGCCGCGGTCCTCGTACATCGCCAGCAGGGCCTGCCGGACCTCGGCATAGCCTAGGCGGTTTCTGGTCGCCGCCTTAATGATCCGCCGCTCCTCCTCCGTCGCCGTGCTCATCTCCAGCACCATCCAGCCCCTGATAATGTCAAGGGCACTCAACGGCATGAGGCCTTTTCCCATCAGCCTCTGCAGCAGATCTTTCCCCTTGGGCTGGAAATCCACATCCTTGCCCTTGCCCTTGCCCTTCGTGCTCGTTGAGCTTCCGGCCGATCGTCCCCTCGAGCGTGAAGTCCTGGACCCGCTCCTCGATCTCGGCCGCCTCGTGCTCTCGCCCTCTCCGTCCTCTTCGGCTGCTTCCCCCGGCTCGCCATCTTCGTCCTCAGGTGGTTCCCCTTCCGACGGGCCATAGTAGAGGGACTCGTCCATGGACATCCCGCAGAAGGTCTTCGGCTCCTCCAGGGTCGCGTCGTAGTCGTCGAAGGCCAGCTCTCGCACCCTGAGAAGCCGCTGCAAAGCCCGCAGCATATCATCATGCACCTTGTCTTCCCTGATAAGGAAAGCTGGAAGAGGTTCCTGGCCTTTCCTTAGCAGACGCCGGTAGTAGGCCCCGATCTTGTTCCCAGCATCCGGCAAAGGTTGCCGGTTCAACGGCGATTCTTCAAGATATTTCACAATTCGGTTGACGCTGCCTTCGGTCCGGAAGTCGTCGGGGTCCAGCTTGTACATCAGCTGCACCAGTGTGCTTTGGCCTTGCTGCAAGGCCTTCTTGATAATCCGGGCCGCCAGCAAGGGCCTTTCATCCTTCTTGGTGGCGCAGAGCGTCCACTTGATCTCCGTCACAAAGTGGGCAAAAGACTCAGGCTTGCCGTCCCACATTAGGACTGGATTCCGGTCCTCCTTCCAGCGCCGTCATAGCTCATCCAAGGATGAGCTTCGGTCCCTGACCGACCAACAGCTCCGGTGCCAATTCAACTCACAACATAAGCGCACGCAATTGCCCGCACGTTTCTCGGCTACAAGAGGGCCCTCTGTGATCCAACAGCAATGGTCGGTAACTATAGTGACACGTCGACATGCACTCAAGATGCAGGATGAACGAAGATGGGTGCCCCGCGAGCTGCCCACGACAGGGCCCAGGCGCAGGCAATGCAGGTACGTTTACCTAGGGTGCAGGGGAGAGCTTCGTTGGACGGAGCTCCCCTGCACCCCCTGCGTCCCCGTGCAGAGCGATGGGTAGTGAACCCCTTATCTCATGCACGAGAGAAGTGCACACACACACACACACACACCCACCCACACACCCACACACCCACACCGACACCCGCACCCACACCCACACCCACACCCGCATCCACACCCACACCCACACCCACACCCACGCCCACACCCACGCCCACGCCCACGCCCACGCCCACGCCCACGCCCACGCCCACGCCCACACCACGCGCGCAACCTTTCCACGACTGACGCAGTAAGCCTTCGAGGCTTGACAAGCAACTGCAGAACCACTCCATCTGAGTTTCGAGATGCTTCGAGAAGCTCTTGTAACAATTCTAGAAGCTGTCACTAGGACGAGACGCGGCCTTGATGCTCAAGTAGATCCCGGTGGCCAGGATGGAAAGAACCTGAGCGAGGTGACAGGCGCGTTGCAAGTTGGACTTAGCAGGAATGCTGAGATGTGGGCAACGGCCAATGAACCCATAACAGGCACCTCCGGACACCACGACATCGCCAATTGCACCATTCCCAGAGCGTTGTGCCTCGATGATCTCAAAGTAATCCACCACCTCACAGGTGCTTGCCAACTAACTTCATCATGACCACCAGTGACGGTAGCCCGTTCCATCAAACAACCCCTCAGAGCCAGAGGTGCCATGCTCCGGGCTCCGGTGCGCAGACGCCGTCAATTTCCAAAAAAGCGATGGTCGCTAGCTGGGAAGCAGGATACCGGCACCCGACAGGTGATGTACAGCAAACATAGGGAAACTATGATTCCTGCGCAGTAGCTCCTGCTGCAAGGAACTTAGATCCGGACCTTTGTGCAGCATATTGAACCGTGTTGCAAGGCTGTAGGAGGGTATCCCGGTCGTGTCGTGTCCCAGTCGGTGTCCAGGTCGATGCCGGTAATGGTCCGGTCCTTGTCCCGGTCGAGTCATTCGCGTGCCAGTCGCATTTTTGTGGCCGCTCGCACGGCGTCCCGGTCAATTCGTCAGTGTCTCCGTCGGCGTCTCGGTAGGTTTGGTCGATATGGCATCGGTGTTTGTGATCTTTGGTCCTTGCACCCTCGAGTCTCGTTCGTGTCACGTCGTGTCCCGGACGGTGTCCGCATCGTGTCCATGTCAATTTATTCTCAGCGGTGTCGAGTCTCTTTCGGTGGTGTCGGGATGCCAAACCGAAGAAGCTGAGCAAGGAACGATTTTTAGTCCGATGAAGCCAAGCACAAAACTCACCGCTGGCTCCAGGTAGGTAAACCTGCATTGCACCGGATCAACACGAACATGGGCAAACAAGGTTGGCTCTTCGACGGCTCACACCTCGTCATGGCTTCGCGCAGGATGAAGAACAAAGATCGAAGCCCAAACACTGCAAAAATGTTCCTTGGGCTGTGATTGTGTTCTCTCGGGCAGCAACGTCTTGAAAACTGCAGGGTGTGTAAAAAACAGTTGCCAATGAAACCAGTGCTGAAATTCTAGCCTTTAGCCGTAAGGAGCAGACGACGAATATGCGATAAATGGATCCTGCAAGAACACACCGAAGCCAGATTGCTCGCGAGGCATAGAACGAATTCTGCCCGGCCTTGGTGGTTCCCAGCACAGCAGGCACAGAATCCGTGGCAAACACGATGTCACTGAACCTTGGTTGCTGATCTGAAACGGCTTCCACACCATGCGCAGGTTTGTAGACCAAGCCCAAAGCTCCACCACCAGCAGACACAGAAGCAATGGTGTTGCCACCGTTCTCCCATCCAACTGCAGCAAGCCCACGCTGAGATTAAAGGCATGTGTTTGCCAAGAATGTGACGAGCGGAGCCTCTGTAAAAAACTTGTCTCCATCCAAGCGTGGCGAGATCTCAAACAGATTTTTCAGTGCCCTCAGCTCGCCAGGACGAGAGACTGGAAGGCATGCAAGTAGTTTTGTAGTTGAGTACATCACTGAGCACGAGGCTTGTAGACACCATATTCCTCAATGGAATCTGAGTTGTCATCATCGTCGTCATCGTCGCGGCTGGCAAGGCCCTCGTTACAATCCAGAATGCATCTCCTCTCTCGCGACTCCAGCCATGTCTGTGGCACAACGCAGAAGCCACCAGCGGGCCTGGTACGATGCATACACCTGGGAGGCGGAGGTGATACGAGCACATAACGGTCAGATAATCACAAGGCCGAGACCAGAATTGCAGCAAAGAACAAGATCAGAAAGTCGAAGCGCTGCAGCAGCTGCGCCCCCAGGTAGACAAAAAGAAAACGCCTGGGTCGCTTCAACTCTGCTTCGCGTCGGCAGCAAGGTTCCAGCAAAGGCAACTGCAAGACAACAGCACCGGCGATGCCATAGTTGAGAACTTGCGACCTCTGACGATGCAACATGGGTGCTGCAGTACATGCCAGATTCCAAAATCCAGCAGCATGACTGGCGGTCACCAGTGACTTTAAAGTAGTCGAAGATCACCTACGGCAGATCAGCGTGGATGCATGCTTATTCTGGAGAACATTCGCAGCTGCCGGCCGCTTTATGAACCTGCGCTGCCACCCTTGAAACAAGCACAGGCACAATAAAAACGAAGAGATTGTCGACGGACAAGGAATACTCGATGACGTAGCATGCAAACCTGACGCGAGAGGGTGTTAAGACCCACTTCGACCCTGGCAAATCTAGCGTGCCAGGCACCATTCAGCACCCGCGACGACCCCCTGGGTGAGTGTGACGAAGGTGCCGAAGAGCATGGCACCCAGTATGCCCACGGCAAGCACCTGAAAGGACACTGTGCTCGCACGTCACCTGGCAGTTGTCCAATCTCAGAGGTGCGCCTGCATGTTTTGCCTAGCAAAAGGCATCACCAGGCATGAAACCCTCTCTGCAGAACATGGTGGGCTGTGTGGCCTTTGGCTCTCCCAGAGCCTATCCAAAACACCTCGCAGTCTCAGTCTGTACGCGCAAGTTTCGAAGCTTTGTTGAGCCAAGAACGCTGAGACGAAGACTTTGTGAGCTGCTTGCATACACAGCCGTAGTGCCTGGAACGCACAGTTCGGGACCAGACCACCAGAAAAGAGATGCGGAACTACTGGCAGCGGCAAGCGCGGTAAGTCGCTTGCCGGGCTCAGCATCTTCCGACGCCTGAAGTTCTGAAGCGACATGTGCAATGCAGTGCTCCGCAGTGCTCTTCAGTGCTCTAACGCGAGCCTGGAGCGGAAGTTTCCACCTGAACTCCGCCCGGCTGCAGTTTTTGGCGGAAGCTGTAACGGTCCCCAGTCCCCACCCTCAACTAAGGCTCTCTCGCCACGGGCGGTCGCGGCTGGCGGCGAGTCTCAAACAACAACATGAGATCGAAGCGAGCCTGAAACTCCCCTCCACGCTATCTGAGGTCGTAACTGCCGCAGCACTCACTGCAGCAATCGTAGCTGCAAGGCGGCAAGGGCCTGCTTGGAAGAAGCGGACCGGAAGCAACACCAGGCATTTCGCATTTCGCCTCCAGATTGTGACCCCCTTGGGAGCGAAGAGGGGAAGTGGTGCTCCATTCGCACTACCTCCAACGCCAAGAAGAGGCACTCCCCTTCCTCCGCGCTGAGCCCAGCGGGAACCTGCCTGCCGCGGGATCTCTCCATCTGCAACGCCTTGATGAAGGATCACAGGAGAACCTACGGGAGGGTCACGTATCGTCACGTTTCTGGTCGGATCTGACTTCATGACACGCAAGTCTGAGCCTGATATCATCGCCAATGCTCGTCCTGCCTAAGAGTCCGCGGCTGACTTCTCTTCCAGGTCCAGGTTTCCCTTTGAGTCACAGACCTTGGTCTCAACCTTGGCCACCTCAGCAAGTAGGATAAACGCTTGCCAAAACAAGGAGTGCCGCACTAGACCACCTGCAGCACGATCGATCAGCGGTCTCATCCATCACCTGCACAGCACAGCCAATCACAGCCACTTCAGCTCACCCGACCATGGGCACAGGTGCGGACAAGGAGCGGCCCATGTTAGCGTATCTTGCAGGATCAAACTGTGACCGGAGCCGATATGCCGACCAAGAAACAAGAATCTGCAGAATCGCTGGGCGGATGTCGAAGCATGCCAAGAAAGACAGCAAGACATGAACTACCTGAGCTGAGCCTTTGGCCATTGGCTGGCCATACGCCGCTGGAACTGGAGGTGCATGGTGCATCCCGCACCCACCGACCTCTGTGCCCAAAACACCGCGTGCAAGAACAACGAGGATATGCGCAGCCATTGAAGTCCCAGCCTTCACCAGCGATGGCAGTCGCTGTATGATGTTCTCTTGAGCAACCACAAACAACGGGACTTCCAGAAGACTACATGTGACAAACCGCAATGCACCCAAACCACAACGTCCACACTTACTAACTGACGCGGCAAGTTTTTGTGTGCTGAGACGGGCTTAGGGATAGTGTCCAAATCCGACACGTTCTCAGAAAATGCAGAGCTGGAAGGGCCCGGACAATACTCTACAATTCCGTATACCAAGCCTTGCACCGTCTGTCAAACTGACGGGCAGGTGCGACAGTGTCCAAGCTTGCCCAGCGTACCTGGTAGAAGGTCCCACCAAGACCAAGCCATTGTCTTGAGTTGGAGATCCAACTGCTCGCCGGCGCTGGCACAGCCGCCCATGTATGCACCATCTAGCTTGCAAGCCCGACCGCAGGCACCTCACACTTCCCACAACATCGCGGAGTAGAGGAAGGGCTTGAGGAATTCGAAGAGGTATAGCATTTCGCCCATGCAGCGCTTTTACAGGTTGATGAGCCGGCTAGGCACACCTGTCCTTCACGCATGCGCTGTTCACGGAATCCATCCTGCACCAAGCGCAAAGCAATCATGCGGATGGTTGCTGCCTTCACGCATTAAGCAACAACAGTGCTCTGTCTCTCAAAACTGGACGCTTCGCCTTTCGCAGTGAGTCCAGCGGTGCTTGAAGCCTTCGGATCCCAAGACTTCCTGCAAAAAGTCGTACTCCGACCTGAAGCGCTCCTGTGGACGAGGGAAAGAGAAGAGAACAGCCGAGGTCTTTCACTTTGCTGAACACACTCCTTTGGAATCAAACGCCATGGAGAGCTACTGTACGACACAAAGGCATGCTCACACTTTTTCAGCGAGCCTTCAACTCGTCCAGTAGTTCCCGGTGCTGACAGAGGTTCGTCCGTGAACCACGTGCATTGTAGCGTGGGAAACGGAAGGTGCGCGGGAATGGCCGGATTTTCAAGAACTTGGAAATGGTACTCCACGTTGCATGGGAGCTGAGTCTGAGCTGGTCAACAAAAAGAATTCGGTGCCCAAAGGCCGCATGCCACCCACGCCATTTCTGTGCAAGATTTACCGAGGCATCGTCGTTGAGCTGCTTTGCCACAGATTCCGACAACTTCTCGTCCGAGGGCCTACTCTGGCCGTGCATGCGACGCTCAAAGCGATCTACAGGGTCACAAACTGTGGCCAGTACCCTCAGGTTTGGCATTTGCCTGATCGCCAACCTCAGCAAGTCAACATGCCACATGTAGGGCTGATAAAGCCCGACCAGCTGAGTGTTGCCCTTCAGCACCTGGAGCTCCATGCGAAAAAGGTTCAAGCGCTCCACTTGAGAACGGAAAGGCAACGTTTGCCTGCCCGTCTCTATGAGGAAGAAATCCTCATCGACGTTGAACACGGATATGTTGGTGAACGTGACTTCCGTATGCTTGGCAAGAATCCTGTGCACAGAGGTGCTTCCACAACCATCCATCCCAATGATGACGAAGTCCAGCTGCATCTGTCCCCAATGAAACAGCTCACGCACGACCGTGATTTTCGGGCTGAAACCGGGCGGAGCTATCTTTTCAAAGAACATCCGGGCAACATTCCTCTCAATATCCTCTTCAGTGCAAACGGAAGGCACGCAAGCTGTAGAGCTGGTAACATCAGTTTCCAAGTACCAAAACCGCCCACCAGAGTTCCAACATGTCAAGACTTTATATGTTGCATCGGTAACGATAAGATCCAGCGCCTGAAGCCTGCCACCTTCCTCTCTTGAACTAAGGAGCTGATCCGCAGAGTCCTTCATGCGGTGCAGCTCGATCGCAGACAAAGTCTTCTCACTGTCCGGCATAGGAGCTCCAGCATCATTGGCATACACTCGTGCAAAGGACAGGGGTCTGAAGTAATCTTGATAATCTGCCTCAGTTGCACAACATGCAACTCAGCAGCCCTGCCGCACAGCTTTCATACTCACAGACGCAAACTGATTTACCGTGAAACTGATAAAAGATCATGCTGGCTGTTCAGAAACAATGCATTGCCAGGATACACTCCACTGCGAAACGCAATCTATCTCAGGTTGGCAAAGTTCGCCGAAACCTCGGTTTCCATTCATGCAACCCGCATTGCCGATCTTTTGTCATCACTGCACATGTTCAAACCTTCTTCCACGAATATGCCTAAAAGCCAGGAGACCACAACTTGCCGAGATCAGGAGAATGCGAAGCAAAGCTGCAAGGAGCTGTCTTGGAAACTGCATGTGGCACTTGTCCATAACCAGCTCAAACAACCTCATCCATCAATGTGCCTCTTGGTGAGACCGACATCCACCACAAATCCGTCAACTTCCATTCGTAAGTCTATTGCACCGGTTTGCATCAAGTCTGCCAACCCAACGCGACTGCTGCTTGCATGTATATCCACATTTTGCTTAAACAAATTGCTGCCGTTTGGTTGAGAATGGCTTTGCAAAACAATGAAAGCGGTCGTGCGTCTTGGAACAAACAAAAGCACAACACAATTCTGCGAAACTGAGATCGGCGACCTTCCCCCATCGCTCTTCGTAGTGAAACATGGTTGACGCACCGGCTGCATTGTCGAGTGCAGCTGAGAACAACGCCCAAAGCGGGAAACCGTCCCGGCAGGCGCCGGAAATATCAACATGTTTTAGGTAGGCTTGCACAGCTCTGTTCTCAAGCAAAGACAACTGTGAGTTAGTTCTACCACAAAAGGAGGCGGTCTCTTCTTTTGCACACGCGCGGATTGCAGAAGAAGGTGCGAGGCAAGCGACGCCTAAGTCAGAAGAGCAAGGCAGTGCCATGCCGAGCTGTGCCCCCCGGTTGGGTGGGCGGGTGAAAAAGCAAGCTAGGCGGTAGCGTACCGCGTCGACAGCCTTCAGATGGGCGGAGCGGTGCGGCAACACATCTCAAGTTCTTTGCAGAAAACACTGTCGACTAAAAAACAAACTCACAACTAGCGTTCTCAAGCAAAGACAACTGTGAGTTAGCTCTACCACAAAAGGAGGCGGTCTCTTCTTTTGTACACGCGCGGATTGCAGAAGAAGGTGCGAGGCAAGCGACGCCTAAGTCAGAAGAGCAAGGCAGTGCGATGCCGAGCTGTGCCCCTCCTTTAGTCCATCTTCTGCAATCCTCTGCCCTGCGGGCTCATTTACCCTCACCGCACGAGGATGAAGAAGAAGGGAGACCTGGCGTGGCAGAAGAAGCATAAGCGAGGCGCTTCTGTAGCCAAGTGCTGGCAACACAAAGGCAGACAAGGCAGTCTTTTAACCTGCTGGCATCAACGCAGTAGGCTGCGCTGGGCCTCGCCGAGGGGGGAAGGTGTTCTCCTCCCCTCTGAGTGAAACTGTGTGCGATGCCGATGCGAGCTGCGGCAAGGTAATGCGTACGCGCTTCGCGGAACAGTGCTGTATGAATGCGAGACGGCCATGGCTGAGTGCGTCAGCCCAGGTGTTTTTCTCTCCAGCTAGGTGTTCGACCTGAAACTGGACACGGTGCAAGTGGGCCCACGTGGCGGCGAGGCGCAGAAAAGTGCTGAGCGGTTCGGCGGTGGTGAACAGGCGGTTCATTCCGCTTTCTGCTGAAGTATTGTCGCTGGCGCTGGGCAGAACAAAGCGAACACGCTTCTGGCGGAGCAGCGCTCAGGAGCAGTGTGCTAAGGCTAGTTGTGCGAGTGCCTCGAAGCAAGCGATGTAGCTTTGCATGGAACCATGGAGCTGGGGCCACTCGGAGCGTACTTGCTCAGCGGTGACCGGTGAAGATTTCGCTGTACCAGACAAAGTGCGAGGAGGTGCTTAGCCATCCGCCAATGCCCATGCGATGCGTGTCAGCAAAGGCACTCATGCACGGAGCCAGGGGCGGCATGCGGAGGCTGCACGGTTGCTCGTGCTGAAAGCAGAGGCTGAGCCATGCGAGTGAGAATTTGCTATCTTGCTTGCTTTAGGTGGATTTCGGTACGATTCGGGTCTGAAAGGCGAACCCACTGATGCTTGTGCGAGGGCGGTACGCGGGGTACCTCGGCTTTAGAATGTATTTTGATGGATCCCACTTCGAGGAGCTGTGCATTGCGAGGAAGCCAAGAGCCTGCTGGCGTGGATGCGGGCTTGGCATTTGCATCAAGACACTCATAGAAACTCGCCCGAGCATTGGGAGAGATGCTATGCAGGGTGCCAGCGCTGCTGTGCAGGTCTTTGTAGAGGCATGACATAAACGAGCTCATGTGCGGACTCAGAGTAGTTGCCCAATTCAGGAGGCCGAGGCATGCTTCTAAATCTTGTTTAAGAACCTTAGAGGCAGTGCTGAGCTTACGCAGCTGCCAGCACAATTTCTCGAGTTTGCTGCACATGAGGGCGACGGTTTCTGTGCGGAAGCAGAAAGTCCAGCCACACCAAGTGATGTGATCACCCAGCTGGGCTTTTTTCCAACTAATGGGCGCACGCAGGGCAGCAAGCAGTGCGACAATTAAAGCGACTGGGTGCTGGAGTTTATCCCAAAGGAGGGCTGCTAAAATATCATCCACATAAAGCCATGCTTTATGCGGGTAATCGCAGAGCAGTGCATGTATGCAGCGCAGGATAAGAGAGCCTGTGCGCTGCCACCAATATGCAGAAAAGCGGGCGCCGAAATGGCATACGGTGTAGTGATAGAGTTTGTCCGCGATGCGAAACAGCAGAGTGCCTTGCTCTGCTGGGCGGACTTTTTGTGACTTGTGCGCTGCCTTAAAGTCAAGTGCAGGCGCGAGAAGGGATCTGCCGCAACAAAGGTGCGTTGCACGTCCAGCGCGCTTGGCATTGCGACCCGCTCGGGTAGGTGCACGGCGGTGTTTAAACCGCATATAGAGCTATCCAAGACGAGGCGGGAATCTTTGCCGTCCGCTTGAACAATGTTGAGCTTGCTGATGGCAGTGCCGAGCGGCTAGTGCTTTGCAGCATCTTCGGCAGTGCCTTCGAAAGGAGCCACGTGACCGGCTGCGATTTCTTGGTCGACTAGTTGCTGGAGCAAGACGGGGTCCCGCTCGGCGGCCGTCCAGTTGCCCGCGCAGCGCTCTAGGCGTTGCATGTCGAGGTCTGCTGAGGTATCTATGTTACGCGGTGCAGAAGGCCAGAGGCCGCTAGGCGGCAGCGGAGAGAAGGCGCCAGTGGGCACTCCTTCTCTGAGAATAGCGATCAGAGACCGACGTCGGTGTCCTGAATGGCACGTGCCAGCAGTTCCAGGATTTCCAAGCGAAAGGGCTGTCCTGTCCTGGCTCAATATGCACGGCGTCGGAAGAGGGCATGCGAGGGGCGAGGTGCAAGCACACCAGTTCCGCAATGACAGAGCCATGCTGGTCTGAAAGAGGGGTGGGCAATACCACATACACCTTTTCTTGTGGAACACACTTCTTCCATGGTGAACGTACACCATCTCAACTTCCACTCGCATAATGCTTGCGCGGATAGCCTTCATCGCTTGCTGGCATAGAAATACCAACCCTAACATCATCAACAGTACCTCAGCGCCACTTATCATCTCAATCAAGCTTGCCATCTGTCCTTCAGCGGCCTTTCGCTGAGCTGGTAAATCTTCCTGGCTAAAGCTTCTTGCTTGCTCTTGAGCCGACATGTTCCCGTAGTTTCCTGTCATGCTAGATCTTCCTTGATAGACATGTGACACTAGGATCAACAGTTGGATAGCTCGGGAAACACTTTTCACTTCGCATCTTATGCCTTTGTCCATCAAAAACCATAGGGACATCGAATCACCTTGGACTCGGTTCACTCGGTTTTTTCCTGGTTCCTTAACCTCCTTTTCCTCCTTTTCCGCTTCGACTTTCTCGTCTTGCCTCTTCTTTGGCTCTTCTGTCTTTGTTCTTTGCTCAGTCTTGTCTGCACCACGCGTCTTTCGGTTTAGCGCGGTCGCTTTCATCGGGTAGAGAACCACATTCCTTCTTTGCTGCTGCTTTGGCCTTTGCGCTTTCCACCTTTTTCTTGCTTCTTCTCCTTTCTGCTTAAGCTCTTTGATCTTAGCTGCCATAAGAGCTGCTTGCTCAGCTTCGGCTGTGATCTCGTCTCCAGTCTTCTTGAACTCCGGTGGGACTTCCACCTTCTCCTCAGCCTTTTCCTCTTTCTTTTCCTCTTTCTTTTCTTCTTTCTTGTCTCCTTCCTTTTCTTCTTCGCTTGAACTCTCATCATCTTCTCTTTCCTCACTTTCACTGTTCTCGGGCTGTGTTTCTGCCTCGCTTTCTTCCTTTTTCTTGCCAGCCTCTTCTGCAACATCCTCTTTTGGAGGTGTCGGGGTATCTTCTCTCAACTTGCTCAACTGCTGAACTTCCTTCCAAATCTCATCTATGCTCAGGCGGTCTTCACGACTTCGCTTCAACTGCTTCTCGCGAAACGTCACACTTGGGATGCTCTTGCAGTCATCGCGGATCATTTATCTTGAGTGACTCATCGTCCGCCATTTCTTCTTCTCTTTTTCTTTTTCTTCTTTTTTCTTCTTCCTTTCTTCCTTCCTTCAGCTCTTCCCTAGAGCTTGATCTGCAAAATGGCCGCGGAAATACACATCACACACATGACAACAATGCTCATGCCACACATGACACTCAGCTTCAGTCCTTGCGCAACTTCTTCAACTTCTTGTTCCTTGGCCTCACATAAGCTCATCAACACTCCGGTCGTAACCGTTTGAATGATCCTTGTAATCAGCTTCTCATCAAACTTCAGTTTTCCTCTTCTTGCACTTCCTCTTCTCACCAAATCTTCTTGCTCTTCTTGCACTTCATCATCGAGAAGTTCACCTACATAATTAGCCAAGTATGACCATGTATTTCTTTATTTTGTCGAGGGACAGGGATTTGGTCCCTGGGTCCGAGGGGTTATTTTTACCCGCTATCGCCTTTATGATAAGCTTCGGGATTTGTTGTATCCAAAGCAGGTCGACATGCAAATGCCGCGCCTTGCCTAAGCCCTTTCTTGCGATAAGCTGCCTTGAGCTTGATGAACCTGAAAACAACACTAGCTTAGGCTCAACTCCTAGGATTCTTTCCAACAATCCTTTCAAGAACACTGCTTCAGACAATATTGAAGTCGCTGCGATTGTCTCAGCTTCACACGAACTTATTCTCTGTTGTGGACCGCGACATGTACAATCATTATGATTGCTACGGAAATTCCCATCAGGAATCAAATATATCGAATGCCAAACATTCGAATATATCTTCTCAAGTATAAATTATCAACTACACCAGCGTAGACCCCAAGCAGAACGCATCGACTCATGCAGGTTCAAGTTGGAACGCGTT